AAACATTTTTCGTTTCTGCCTTTGGTAGGCAATTGTTACTTGGTTCTCTTACATGATTCATTGAAAACAAAAGTGATTTGAAGTTGGTCAACTGTATACTGGTTAAACATAAATAAAGGGACAACAATAATTAACGGAAATAAATAACGTTTAGCCAAGTTCAGGTCATACCACAAGAGGAAGGGTCAACAAGCTCCAAATAGGCCACAGAGCATAACAGAACCTGAAACAAACGACTCGTAAATCTCATTGATCTAGAAGTTTCAAACTATATCTGTGTATTACTATTTGGATGCACAAATAATTCATGCGATCATTATATCACTTACAATAGGAAAGATAGGAGCCCAAGCACAGTGATGAAGGGAAGGGCAGCTGTACTGGAAATCTCCCACTTCTCATATGACTTCCGGATGCCCAAAGCCAACATACTTGTATATAAGAAAAACATAACATTCAAACCAACACCAAACATCCCAATGTATAGTGGTATTCTGCAACAAAAATGTGAAGAATCGATGAATAAAGCTCCCAATCTATGGCCAAAATGTGCAAGTTTTCTCGAAGCATTATCGGTGAAAAGGTCAAGCAGCTTTAGTAATTCCTAGATATCTCATGCATCTTACTAACAGGCTAACAGCTGCAGTTTGCTAAGTTATAAAAGGATGCTTATGTGAAAGAACAGCATGGATATCTGTATATTTTGGTATCCGTTATTCCAAAAATGATCCTTAAACAGAAGTGAAATTTACATGGTCCAATAGCATTAGTGGTTTGAAGAAACTAATTAGGCATTTGGCAAGCTCTATATATGAATACGAAAAATTTCCAAACTTCATATATGCTATATTTTTCCGTGTATTCCTACACATATGCTATTTTATTTCTTCGATCTAGAGTGAATTAGAAGATGGACGCACTTACACACCATATCCAAGGAGAGGTGTCATGACGTATGTTGTTCGCTGATGATATAGTTCTAATTGATGAGACGCGAGGCGGCGTTAACGAGAGATTGGAAGTATGGAAGCAGGCCCTGGAGTCTAAAGGTTTCAAGTTGAGTAGGATTAAGACGGAATATGTGGAATGTAAGTTCAGCGACATGACGGGGGAAGCGGAAGTGGAAGTCAGGCTTGACTCACAGGTCATCCTCAAGAGAGAAAGTTTTAAGTACTTAGGGTCAATTATCCAGGGAGATGGGGAGATCGACGGGGATGTTACGCACCGTATTGGGGTGGGGTGGATGAAATGGAGGTTAGCGTCTGGAGTCCTGTGTGACAAAAATGCGCCACCGAAACTCAAAGGTAAGTTCTATAGAGTTGTGGTTAGACCGGCTATGTTGTATGGAGCTGAGTGTTGGCCAGTCAAGAATTCACATATCCAGAAGATGAAAGTAGCATAAATGAGGATGTTGAGATGGATGTGTGGACACACTAGGCTAGATAAGATTAGGAATGAAGATATTCGGGAGAGGGTGGGCGTGGCTCCCGTGGACGACAAGATGCGGGAAGCACAACTTAGATGGTTTGGACACGTGCGGAGGAGAAGCCTAGATGCACCGGTTAGGAGGTGTGAGCGGTTGACTTTGGCAGGTACAAGAAGAGGCAGAGGGCGGCCTAAGAAAAATTGGGGCGAGGTGATCAGGCAGGACACGGGGCGGCTTCAGATTTTCGAGGACATGGCTCTTGATAGGAACATGTGGAGGTCGAGCTAGGGGGTAGTCGAGAGTTCTTCCCTTTTTTTACTGGGTAGTCTGATAGAGTTTTGTTTAGGTTTGTTAGCGGTCTGTGTTGTGTTCACATTGTTGTTTTCTTAGTTTTGTGTTATTGTTATTTTCTTTCTGGCTTTTGTTGTTACATGCCTTTTCTTTTATTTCTTTTCTGATATTATTGTCTCTCCTGTTGTGCGGAGAGTCTCCCGGAAACAGCCTCTCTACCCTCTTCGGGGTAGGGGTAAGGTCTGCGTACACTCTACTCTCCTCAGACCCCACTAGTGGAATTTTACTGGGTATGTTGTTGTTGTTGTTATTGTTGTATGGTATATTTCAAATTATCTTACCATTGCGTGCACACTCTTGCTAACGACACACTTAATGCAGTGTTTCCCCATCACTGAATGTAATGAAGCAAAAGAAGAGGTTTCGAAGGTTACTACCTAAACGCAAGGAGAAAATTGGTATTCAAGGCAGGTGCATTTTCAACTCAGTGAAAGAGTCCGATGCAGCCAATCCAAAGGACCAATTATCAAGAGAAAAGAAGATGCAAAACAAATGAAAATATGACTAAAAATTAAAAGTGTACCTAGACATTTCTGACATCTAATAATTGGAGTGTCTCTAACATAAAAGTAAGTTACTTAAAGCACTTGAATTTGCTAATCATTTTTGCTATGCTACAGGATAAAAGCATTATAAACAAGCATATTGTTTCAACCAAAGAAAAAGCTTGTTTGGAAATCTTTCAACTAATAATTCAAAACAATATTTGACATGGTTTACATATGCAAGTGTAAAAACAACCAATCCAATTCAAGAAGCACAGTAGCCAAAACATTAGCTACATCTATTCACATCATGTGAGTTAACTAAAACATCAAAGATGAGCAATATGCCAACAATTGAGGCAGTAGTATATACTATGTAGACAACAATTAAACTACACCATTTTTACTAATACTTGTTTGGAACTGAGATTAGATGTTTTTTTTTCTCTTCAAAGAATAACCAATCATTCCATGTTTATTTACTTATTATTCTCTTTTTCCCCTCTTTCCCTTTTAGGTGAGCAAAACATTTATGCAGTCAAACTTCTCTATAACAGTCATCTTTTATAACAACACTTCGCTATAACGACCAGGTTTTCTTTAGAACCAATTTCCATGTTATGTTATAATACATGTTCTCTATAACAAAACTTCGCTATAGCAGCCAAAAAAATGTTCGGAACTAACGAGGCTTTTATAGAGAGGATTGACGGTATATGAATAACAAATAGTTTACTCTAAAGTAATCTAAGTCAAAGGAGAAATTGAACTCGTAGGCTTACCTCCTAATTCGACCATCATGCCACAAAAGGAAAATCAAATTATGATGCCAATCACCATAGTATACAATGAATAATGCAGAAGCAATCCAAAGAAAATTCTCTAAGATCTCAGTCCATGTCCTTGTCCTGGGAATTGGAATTGACTGTGATTGCGAAACGAACCTAGAACAAGCATCATCCTCAAGATCATCGCCACTCGAACCATACCCTTGACTTAGCCTTTGCCTCACATATCCACCACCACCAACTGGTGTTCCACCAGACATATTAACACAAAATTGTTCTATACCAAAAAAAATCAACAAATTTCACTTTTCTGTAACTCCTTCAAGTTATCTCATAAGTCAGTTAAAAGCTGAAAAAGCCAATCAAACAAACCAGCTCCCAGCAAAAAAATCTCTAAATTTTCTATAAAACCTAACAAAAATCCAACCTCAATTCACTTGTAAAGAATCAAAAAATGCCAACTATATAACAATAAAAAGTAACTGTATCTCCCACCAGTTACCAAATTGCAGCTCATTCAACTATACCCTACATGCCCCCACTTGAATCAAGATTCACACAAGACTTAACTAAATGGTCCAATCTCTAAAACCCATATCAAGAATACAAAATTCTCACAAACCCAAATCAAAAATCAAAACTTTTTGACAACCCAATTCATAAAATAGCAAGATTATAACTATAAATCAAGAAACCCCATCACTACCAGAAAAAAGAGAACTCTTTAGGTTGAATTCTCGAATACCCAAAACGTAAAAACCCAAAGGTTTTTTCACATTAGAGTAATCAATGAACAATTAATGCATATAAGCACAACAAGTGTTGTTACTAATGACAAGAAAAGAAGACAATAAATGGTTTTTAAGAGACTTCGGTTGGGCTTTTTTTGGTTTGTAGAGAGAGAGAGAAAGAGATCTGCGCATGTAAGTTGAGAGTAGTGAAGAGATTGACAGTTGGGGTAATGCCAGATTCGTTTCTTGTACGTTAGGTAGAATGTTTTTGATTGAAAACTTCTTAATATATAGTTCCCTTATTAAGAAAAATTTAAAATGTTTAGTTTAAGTTTATTGCAGTAATAGAAATCACTTTTCCATATTTTTATTTTTTTGGGGGGTTTCACCTTATGTTTCGTGCCGAGACCCCACTTCATCCTTAATACGAAATATATGTAATTTTTATCCGCTCACAAAAATAATAATTAATAAAATATATAAGTTTTTAATATACCGCACATGCTCGCTAAAAGGAAAAAAAATCCATATCAAGTTAAATTGTTATTTATTACGATAGGCTTTTTTCTTCTTTTATTTTACAAAATAATCTTTATCTAGCAACATATGGTAAAGGGGCAGGGGAGGTTGTTTTTACATAGTTAGCAAGAAAGTAAGAAAGATCTAATTGAATTGTAGTCACTTTTGATTATCAAATTGAACTTGTGATATTATAATTTGAGTTGTGATCTCTAGAGATGAATTGTTCCCTTAATAACAAAAGAAAAATGGAGTTAAAACTAGCTGAATTAATGTTGTTTATGGTGGTTTTATTTCGATAAAAAAATTTATTCGTAATATTATTTTGTCATAGTATTTGTTCTCCGTCGTTGAAAATGTTAATGATTAATCACTAGTAAAAATAGAGTTTAATTGTGAAACATATAAAAATTTGTAAGTATTATTCCTCATTATGCATATACAAAAAAATTATCAAAAAAAATAACATCTTGGGATTAGCTTAAAATTCAATATAATATGTGACTGCTCCTAACGGAAACTAACTTTATGGTATAAATAAAATAAAGTGGTTTTATGACACTACATCAGAGATGTTTTGAGATATAATATTATATTTGGGTGGAGACAAGAATTAAAATTTTAAAATAGTAGGACCATGTTGCCTTTTAAGCCATGGCAAGAGTAATGTTCAAAGGAAGCATGCTTTGCTTGCCCACAACTCCACTCCTTTATAAAAGTTTTCTTTTTTTAAATGTCCACTTGAGCCAAGAAAAACTACATCCCCACCCACAAATATGGAAGGCCATCAAGAACCTTTTCATTATCTAATTTAAAAGATTGTTGTTAAACAAAGCTTAAATAGATGGACTTTTTGAGGACCCGTGTATAGTAGATAATTTTTTGTACCCAACGTTTATATCAAATAAGTAATTTAATCTTAGCAATTAAAACTAAGATGGATGAGCAGGTTTATTCGAGTAAGGACCTCAGATATCATCCCGGCCCAGAGGATGCACTCTCAGGAGAGGTGGAATACCCGACGTAAGCAATTTTCCCTTAGCTGCTTTTCAACTATTCTTCCTTTCGAAATAATAATCTCTTTGTGCTTCCTGCAGCCGTCGCTTGGCACCCGGAGGCGGTTCTAGATTTGTTAGGATGGATCGGGCGGTTGAACGAGAAGTTCCCATATTGCGTTCGGTCTTGGACGGGCATGGCCAAGAAGTGTTGGGTGGGCAAGAATCATGGTGAGGTTCCCTTACCGCCTATGCTTTGTGTTTTGTGTTTCTTTCTGAGCCCTTAGCGAAAGCGTCTTTCGGTTACTGCGCTGGTGCAGGTGTTGGCGAGAATATGCAGATAAGGTCGCCCTTGGTGGCGAAGCAGGGGCCTTGGAGCCCGACACGAGTAAGAAGAGGAAAAACAGGGCAGCTGTTGACCGTCCTGCGGCAAAGAAAACCAGGTCACTGGAGCATCGAGTCGTTGTTAGGACTGCTGCTTCAACCTAAGAGGCGAGTCCTGATACTGAGGGAGAGAATGATGACGGAAGCCCACACGAGGTTATTATTGTCTTTTCAGTTTCGTTTCAGCTGCAACTGTGTATGAAACATGGGCCCATCAAACTTTGAACTGCACACACACTACAGTTTTCTCATTCGACAACTCGTGGCACTGGTGAAACCCAAATGGCTGAGGATATTTATGTATATTGCATTTTGAAGAGAGGTATTGAACCGAAAGACCAGTCTTTATTGAACTCAATGGCCATTTGTTATTGTAATTTGGGTAAATTAGAGGAAGCAAAATTGCTTTTTGATAAACTATTGGATATGAAATTGAGGCCTTGTAGTAGCACATGCAATGCGCTTATTAAGGGATTTTGTGGCCAATATAGCATCTTGGATGGGTTTGATGTTTTTGTAGTGTTGATGATGCTGGAGTATCACTAAGTTTTAGTTGTTACAATAGGTTAGTGGATGGCTTGTGCCATCGGGGGTTCTTAGATGAAGCACTCTATGTGTTTGATGTAATGGTTGAATTTGGATTAGAACCTGATGCAGTAAGTTACCAAATCATGATTGGCAAGTATTGCAAGGATCATAAAGTTGATTGTGCATTGATGCTGTTAAATAACATGATTCAGTGCAACGTTTCTCCTAGTGTGCACTCTTATACTGCTTTAATTGCTGCGCTTTATAAAGAGAATCGATTAGCAGAAGTAGATGTCTTGTACAATAAGATGTTGGATAATGGATTGGTTCCTGACCATGTTTTGTTTTTTACCTTGGTCAACAATCATCCAAGAGGGTCAGAGATTACTCTAGCATGCACCTTTTTGCGGGCAATTGCCAAAAATGGTTGTGGTATTAACCTTTCTAACATCCCTAGCACTACCAGTCAAAAAGTTACTACAAATATCATATCTGATATTGATCATCTCTTGGGAGAAATTGTGGCAAGAAACTTATCTCTGGCCAATGTTGCTTTCAATATATACATGATTGCTTTATGTTTAGGAGGAAAACTTGATTCTGCTCTTCTTGCATGGACAAGATGGCAAGCCTTTCTCTTCAGCCTTCACTGTCAGCTTATAACTCTATGATCAAGTGCCTTTACCAAAACGGACTACTTGAGGATGCCAAATCCTTTGTTGAAGTTATGCATGTCAACGCCCCCTTTTTCTACGGGTTGAAATCGGGTATACGACATTGGGAGGACAACTCTATTCCCTTTCGAGAATTGGGTTTTGAAATTTTGAAGAGTCACCACCTAATGATTATAGTGCATTAGGACACTTTAAGAAATGTTTGAGTTGGAAAAAACCAGAGTTCGGGTAAGGGCTAAAAATTATCTCGAGGGGAAGGTGTTAGGCACCCCTCAAGATCCACTAGTGTGGTCCCGGCCATGTTACAATTGTGACTTTAGAAGTAAACAATCAAGGCTCAAATAAGGACTTGCATACAACATTGCAATTAGGTTGAAAACTTTTGAAGGTAAGTAGAGAGGACAGAGATTTATGGAAAAAAAGATTTGAATGGTTTCACGAGAAGAGATGAAAGCAAATAAGGGGAGGGGGGTCCTAGGTTTACGATTAATATGGATCACTTCAATGCAATACCCAACAATCACTCCTCAAAAAAGAGGGGTTGCACTTGATATTAGCACATCGGTCATCATCTCCATATCTACCCTTCCCACCCCGTTAAGGTATTAAAGCGCAGAATAGTATCGTTACTGTGAGCACGTGATTTTGCCCTATGAGAACTACTCCCAAAAAATTCAAAATAAAATGGTTTTTGTGTTGTTTGTAATTTATATGTATTTTTGTCTATTTTCTATTTTAAATGAGAAAAATGCAAAAAAATATGTGTTGCATGTACATTTAGGATTTAATTTTACAATTTAGGATTTAATTAAGCAAGTTTGTTTTTACAAAAAACAAAAATCATAAAAATAATGTAC